TGCCTGCTTTCTTCTTCTAACTCTTCTAGCAGCTTATCTTGCCGCTCTTTGGCCACTTTCTCCTTGTATGCGGATAGGACTCTTTGCTCGAACATTCGGGCAGCAAATATTTGGAACATTCTGCGGCCTTCCTCCATTCGCTGTTCTTCCGTCATTTGATCCTGGCAGCAGCACTCAGTATGGAACCGGGACGGCATTATAGAAGGATTAGAATATACCTCTTCATCCTCATACTCCTCGTCTTGGCTGTCCTCATAATCTTCCTCCTCCTCCTCTTCATCTTCGTAGTCATCATCGTCAGGAGGATGATTATGAGGAGCGGAGTATGAGCCGTTGGGATGACCGTAGCCGCGGGAGAAGTGTTCTCTTGCGTCCTCCTCGCGAGCCATGCGACGTTCTGCTAGCTGTTCCATCATTTCAATGAATCGCTTGCCGTCGTTTTTGAGTAGGTCATCCGCCACGGTGAGAATGCCGCCTAAGTCCATGTTACCATATACGCTGAGAAGAGATTCAAGAAGCTGCGTACCCTTGACTTGCAAACTACTGCCAAATGCCAAGAAATCCGTCATGTCTCGATCGTAGGGGTTGTGAAACTGCTCTGGGGGTTCGTCGTCGCTATATTCGTCGTCCTCCGCTTCATCCTCACTATAAACTTCCTCCAGCTCGTCTTCTTCATCTTCGTCGCCCACGTGCTCTACAATCCTACCATGAGACGGCTGTTGCGGGGTATAATTCGAGGGTAGTCGATGGCGAGGTCGCGGGGGAAAGTCTCGTGATGGTGGTTGCAGCATTGGTGGTCCATCACCGTGGTTGGCAAACTGCTCTAGCTCCAGATAGTACGCATCATACAAGCCCTCCAACTCCTCCTCAATAGCTGTTCGTTTCCGTCCACACACAGTACAACTGCATGTGTGCTTCTGCTGCTCCTTCATCTTCTTCAAGACGGCGTCTTTCTCCACCTTGACCAGTGACTTTCGCTCGTCTTCGCCAAGTCCAAGCCAGAACTCTTTAATGCGTTCTCTTTCTTCGTGATTGCTTGTGCTCCAAATCTTATCTCGTGACATGCCCGATGGTCGAGAGACATCTGGGCTGGTCATTCGGGGTACAGAAGTAGAAATAACTGGAGAGTTGTCAACATCGCCAAACTCTTCGGCATTCTTTCTCTTCTTTTTCTTGGTCTTTTTGGACTTGGGAGCCGAACGAGAATGACCATTCGTCCCCGCAGCAGCAAATTCGCCATTTTGCGCATCCTCCATATCTTCCTCATCACTTACGACGACGTCTTGGTCGTCGGGTAAGGTCTCGCTGAGCCCATTTGATGTTGATGAGGGGTCTGGAAGAGCGTTGGCTGCTTGCTCGACGGCGGCGGCCTTTGCTAATGCCTTTTGTCGACGCTTTTGCTTCTTGCGATTTACATTTTGTAAAGGCGCGTCAGGCGTGGGAGGGTTTGGCAGCGGATTCGCCGATTTAGCGGCAATTGTCGGCGTTGAGGGTTGGGAGGAGTCGGAAGGTGTGCTTTTGGGAACAGTGATGAACTTTGATCCATCCTTGTTTGTGTACTTGGCTGTGTTTCGAGGTGATGCCGGCGTAGGAGGAGCCGGTTTCTGGTTGGTGGCCGGCATCGTACGTTCGACAGAACGTCGGGGGGCGACACCATGAAGAGGTGGTGATTGCTGATGGCTGTTTGGGGCGTGCTCGCCGCGACGTCAATGGCCGATTCTGATGATGCGCACAAAGCAACAAGTCAGCCTCGAACGGATAATGAGCCACGCTAGGAATAAGTCTGCAGCACGCGACAGGAGCCGGGAGGGGATCGCCAGCGGCGGCAGGTAGACGGCGACGGCTGAGGTTGAGATGGGATTTGGTGGATGCTCTTGGAAAGCGGCTCAAATTGAGGGACGCCATGGAGTACTCACCCACTTCAACCACTCAGATTCGAGTCGGCCAACTGAGGGTTAGGTCAGCAATGACGCCAGTGGGGGAGCCGCGTTTCCCCCGTTGGAATGAAGTTCTCCCTGGGAAAAAATGACGAGCTGCTCCTGCTGGAAGAGTAGTCTCAGAAGCAGTAACAGGCGGACTGGTGGGAGGTCGTCTTCAATTTAGAGGTTGATGATCGGGCTGGCTGCAAGGTGGAAGTCACGATGTGGTGTAGTTACATGGCGGCGGTACATTTAGTCCTGCATCTCCAGAAGAGGACCATTCTTGAAGCCCATAAAAACTGGGTCTCATCCTTCAATCAGAGCCCCTTCTGTCATTCTGTGGTGTGGCGGTTGGTCATGCTAGTCGGCATTGGCAGTGAACATAGCCCGTGCACATGCACGTGACCACATCGATGACGGATTCTTCTCATCTTGCGCACCTTGATGAGGAGAGGGACCAGGTGTCGAGCAGAATCCAGAGGTTGCATAATCTACATTTTTTTTCCTTTTTTCCTTACGGAGTATTTTTTTTCCACAATTCTCACATGTAGTACATGCGGTATTCTAATAAGCCACTTTGCTCATGGCCAGCATGCCTGACTGCTTTGAGGCAGCCCTGCTCCAATTGAGCCACTTGAGTGATTCCGAGCCCGAACAGGGAAACTTCTTGACGACACTCTGATTCTTTGTATAGCCTCCTCGAAGCTATACAATGGAATTTTAACACATCTAACAGACCCATACCACTCTCCTAGTGATTCTATCCCCGTGACTCTCCAAGACTTGTTGCACTGTCGTCGGGTTGTGCACACCAAGGCTGTCGTCTTGATTTGCAACATTGTGGTGCCCAGTCAGAGTCGATTCGGGTCAAGCGGGAGCTTCATCCTAGTACGTATGAAAAAAGTAAAACGTCAAAGGTAAGATAAAGTCCACATGATTATTCAAAGAAAAGGATCTTCATTGCCAGCCTCCATCAACAGGGACCACCGCAGTCACTTGGGTAGTCTGGAGGTTGGATCGTGAGAGGTCAATGAATACGAGGAGACTGCAGCAGGACCCTGTCAGCCCTGTTCCCCAGTCACCTAGTCCGGACATGCAGGAAATAACTGCTAGTCGGCATAAATGCAGTTCATACCACTGATTAAACAATCAAGCCTCAACATGAGACGTTTCGCCCTTCCGACCAGTCAGGGCGGTCGCCCATCCAGCGTCTGCTGCCTCTACCTAGCCAAACTCGATCTCAAGCGGCTGGGTTAACTAAGATACCAGATTGCAGGCTTTGCAGCAGGTTGACCTCCATTCAATGCAAGGGCTGGCTCCACGGAGCACAGCCTCCTCTCTGGTCTCGGATGCGAAGCCACCTCATCGTTATTTTGAGTACAATTCACTGGTAGCCGAGTTCCGAAGCTTCCATCCTGGCAGGCCAATTCTCCATTTGATCTCTGGACGAGACTCCATTGAGTCCATTCAACTTGGTCTCGGGATGAATAACCCCATCCCCCCATGCTTGCGGACTCAGGCGCTGCCGAGAACTAAGTTGCAACACTTGTACACATGTAAAACAGGACACCTATTGTGGCCCTGACGGCTTGAACGGCCAACGATGGGACCATCAAGTCCGGACTGCGCTGCATATGTGTGGACGCGGTGCAGGACAGGACAGGGCCGGGGCATTTTTCCTCATTGGACCTGCCCGGCGGCATCGTTTAACTGGGAAACGTGGCGTGCCGTAGGCCTCTTCGCAGTCTCTGCGGGTTGTTGTTTGCCAAGAGACGCAGAAAGAGCATGAGAAGGCAAGGCAAGGCAAGGCGGGACGCTAGATGCATTGAAAAGTGTGCGCCTCGCGACAATAGTAATCGCAGGTATTGCAATGTTGCCTGCTTGGCCCAGTGCTCCTTGTTGGGGAAGCTGTTTGGTCTACTCCGTGGAGAGGCGAAACTGCTAGCTGCCCACATGTCAATTGCCCCCCCAATGCCTCAGCAACCAATCAGTTCGGCAGCAGCACCAAACCAGGTCCAGGGGCCATGACGAAAACTCCAACAGACCAGTTGGGCGAAGGCTTGGGATCTTCTTGGCTGGCCTGAGCTGGGGCTGCATAACGTTAGTCTATCCAGACTGATGGGTAAGTCTGTCGGCTTGGTGTCTACAACATGGGTTGATCAATTGATGTGTCCGTAGGCACTTCCGCCCGCAAACAACCAGACCCTTGCCATCTTGCAGGCGCTCAAGTCCTACCATGCACAAGTCCCGGGACCTGTGACGGCACGTAGACACGGCCAAGTCCAAGGAATACATATTACGGAGTACATGGAAGCAGTAAGGGGTCTCGCGCCCGTCATCAAATGGCTGATGACGAGTTTCCCGCCCGGAGTTGCCGTTATGTAAGCCGGCGCCGACCTGAGCAGTCAACATTTGAACGCCCCATCTGCCCCCAACTCTCGAATGCTGGTTCAACCGGCGCTGGTGTCTCCTTCGTCCACACCCCCCGACTCCAGAAACTAGTTCGACTTTGGAAGCCAACTCGAGTCTGGTCTGCTCGGCCAAGGTTCTCTTGTTGCTGTTTCTGCTGCTTCCCTTCTTCACCAAACCCCATCCTTGCCTTGCGACTTCATCATCACCGTGTGTCCGTTCGAGTCCCCCGCTTCGTTCTTGCACGAAACTTCCACCGCGTCTACGCTCTACGATCTCTTGTCCGATCTGACCCTGTTACCGCCCGACGTTCGAACCCGAAATCTGCCAATTGTTGGTGGCAGCCTTCTTATCCCTCGTATTCGGTCGAACGTCTCACACCCAGCTTAGCCCTCGTCCCACTGCGGCCTCCAAACTCGTCTCGCGGCCCGCCGTCCTGCTTTGGTTGTTTGCTCTTAATAAACACTGCGCAGGAGCATAAAGCGTCCCTTGTTGTCGTTGCTTGCACCCAACTCCTCACGAATTTCCTTCCAATCCAACGGCTGTGCCACCCGGGTCTAGTTGGAATTCGTGGACTGAACGGCCGTGGACTTCTGAACAACGACAACAGAGTCCAACACCTCGGCGCCGAATTCATCCCCTATTCAAGTTTCTCGATCCCTAGCTTTCAAGATGGCTAGTTCAAATTCTCAAAACGTTATCCGCAGGTACGAGCATGCAGCCAATTGAGCTTAATTCCATTGGCAGATTACCGTTTCACAACGCTTGACTACCAATGCGTCTTCCTTTACCTTTTTTTTCGGCCCGCAGAATACAGCCATGAATTGTTGCTAATTTGAATTTTCTACTATTGCAGAAAACTAGTCATTATTGGTGACGGTGCCTGTGGTAAAACCAGTTTGCTCAGTGTATTCACTCTGGGATATTTTCCTACGGTTTGTGCTATCCCAGTTTATAAGTCTTATATAAGCTATTTAGCTAACCTTTCTCTTTTTTTTTAGCGATATGTAAGATATATGTCAGACCCAATAGAAGCTAGAAATGATCCTAATACCAACACATCTAGATCCCGACAGTGTTTGAAAACTACGTAACCGATTGCAGAGTCGATGGAAAATCCGTGCAATTGGCGTTATGGGACACTGCAGGTCAGGAAGACTACGAGAGGCTACGGCCGTTGGCTTACTCAAAAGCCCATGTCATCTTAATCGGGTTCTCAGTTGACACACCTGATTCTTTGGAGAACGTAAAGAACAAGGTACGTGCTGCCCAGCTTGCTATCAGACGTATCTTGACGCTGACTCGACTTTGCATCGGACAGTGGATTGAGGAAGCGACACGACTATGCGCTGGCGTCCCCATCATTCTAGTAGGGTTAAAAAAGGATCTTCGAGAAGATCCAGTCGCAGTTGAGGAAATGCGCAAAAAATCTCAGCGATTCCTCACAACCCACGATGGAGAGATGGCTGCTCGGGAAGTTGGGGCGAAGCGTTACCTGGAGTGTTCGAGTTTGAGCGGCGAGGGAGTCGACGACGTCTTTGAAGCCGCAACGCGAGCCGCCCTCCTGACATTTGAAAAAGGCGAAGGAGGCGGTTGCTGCGTCATTCTGTGAGCACGGGCTCACCAGCCATCTAAATACGTTGGTAATTATATGAGGGCCAACGAAGTGTCCCTGAGGCTTCCCTCCTCATCACCGTCAAATTGGGACCGTCTGCCACATCTCGTTTCGTTTTGACCAGCATCTCGGTAAAGCATAGCATCCTCTCCTTAAATGGCGACGCGTGCGTCTCCCTTCCTTTCGACTGCTAATTCTCGTCTCCTGCTTGTTCTTTATTTTAATTGGGCCGTGATATTTGGCAAGCGAACTTGTTCTCTCTCTCAGTTGAGTCTATCTGAACTTTTACAGCGAGGCACACACGGATCTGCTTTTCGCAGTACAAAAAGCAGCGTCTCTGTATTAATATGGCGCGGAAAGGGTATAGATCACATCAGCTGGCCTGTGCGTAGCGCATAGTCGGTCCGTCTCGCAGCGTGTTGACTTGTTTTTTTGCGTTTTGTTTTGGGATAAAGAAATATTCCACCAGGGATGATTCGGGTGAATATTTCCTAAAAGTAGGTGCGGGTTGGACCAGCAGATTAGGTGTCAGACAATTGGCATTTAATAACAACAATGATTCTATACTCGACGTGGCAGTGGCCAACTTTTCCCATTGTGCCATGACGATGAAAGTGCTCCATTTTGAAAAGTAATGTTTGGCCATTGAATGTTGGCTTATGCTATTCTATTATTGCTTCAGAAGCTAGTCTACAACTGTTACGTATCCACATAACGGTGTGTGAACAGTACTTTTATACAAGCCCATGCCCCGAAATAAAGGGCTACCTTTTCCAGTCGTGATTCCAAGGCTCCTTTGCGGGACTATCCGTCTGGAACCGCGCATACTCAATGGGGACAGCATCCGTGCCCCAGACGCCCTTCTTCTCCATGGCCACTCTGTACAGATACCCTTCGCCCCTGCCATCGGGCCCGACCGTCTTCCTCAGCTCCTCGCAGGCATTGTACATGCCGGCGTGCATGCGCTGTCTCTCCTTGCCCATGCTCTCATGCTGCTGGCGCCGAAACAGCTGCCACGCGCGGTGGATCGTCCAGTGGCGCAGGTATCGCTGCCGGGCCATCCTCAGCGGCGGCGGGGCCGGCGAGAACATGTTCTGCCTGAGGGTCTTGATGCGCTGGAAGTTTTCCGACTTGGGGGCCTGGCGGCTCTTGCGGACGGGCTTTGTCCCCGGGCCGGGTTTGGACGGCGCTTGGCGAGCCATGGTGGGTGTGGTGGTTGAGAGGAGGCGCGCGGCCGAGGGGATTGCTGATTTGGGCGGCTTGCCAAGGAGGCTGCCGAGGGAGAATAATGATGCCATGAGTGGTGTTGTGCGGTGGGTGGATGCTATCTTTTAGGTTCTCGGTGTGTTGCGTGGGCGGCCGCGACGTCGTTTGGGTCGACGATTGTCGTCGGATTCGTGCTTCTCCTGAGATGCCGACGCTGGAGACTGTTGTTGCGACTCCGTTGCGTTTCGCTTCCTTCCCCTTGTCTCTGGAGGAGTGTATGCCGTTTCTGGTTCTGTTTTTACTACGATTGTGGAGGTGTCGTTGTGGCTATCTTGTCCTGGAGCCAGATCTGCCTGACCCGAACCGAGTTCCTGAGGTTGGAGCGGCACTAGCTGATGAGCAACCGTCGCGATGCTGTCAGTTGAGATTGGTGTGCAGAATTGGTCGCGGAGCTCAAATAGAATTCCGGAAGCGGTACGGTCAGTCCACTGCCAATCTTGACAGCAAAGATTGACTGCTGTGTCCAATGCTTCCTGGACTCGTGGGCGATTGAAGCGATTGTTCGGGTGGACAGGGTCGAGACAGAATTTCGGCTGCGCGTAGAATGCATGTATCTCCTAGAAAATGTTAGCGGGCCAAGGAAGGACGTGGCGGTCGGATTAAGATAATCCCGAGGCTCTCAGGGTGTGTGGATTAATTGTGACTTCACCTCTATTTCTTGGCCTTTCTTGTCATAAAGCACGCAGTGCTCAATATTTCTCGATTCGTGCAGTTCCCTCAATGCCTCTTTGCCCAGGATATCTTGATAGATGACGTGCAGTTCTTCAAGGGTCCTTTCTGTCGCCGACTCTACCGTCTCGATAAGTGGTGCCATTGCCACTCTGGTAAGTCCACGGCTCAGTCTTCCGTCCAGTTGCTCGACCAAGAAGGCGAACTCGCAGATCCGGGGATGATGGTCCAAAATCGACCGGGCCCAGCAAAGGTACGGATGATTGAGCGAAACCCTCATTCGCCAAGCATCGCGCACATGGGCTAGTATCCGAATGTTGATTTCAGAGAATGTCGGGACGTGCTGGTACTGGGCACCCCATAGGGGGCCATCACCCTCCGGCTCAAAGGAAATGAATGCGGCGAGTACCTGCAGGACATCTTTACAGACGAGTTCAAATCGTGTCGAGTATTCTCTCCAGGTCCGTGGCACTAAGCCCCGGAACTTGAAGCTGGCAGTCTCTGCACCGCCCTGGTCAAGGCCAAATGCACCGTGCAAGCCAGGATGCTTCCATACCGGACCATTCGGATCCCATGCCTCGTCTCCCTGGCAGTATTCGTCGCCACTTGTAATTCTGGGGCCGCAATACTCAAAGACATAGTCACCGCCGCTGTGGCCCAGGTAGTACCTCGAGTGCGAAAGTCCAGTGACAACTCGAGCCTCCCGAGAGTCTACATCAAAAAAGCCCCCGATTCGGACGTTCTTAAAGCTGCAAAGCCATCCGGGATTCTTGGAAATGTCTTCCAGCCACTCCTCCTGTTCCGTTTTCATCTGGGCCAGTCGTTTCTCGTGCGTCTGCACCCTCTCAGCAGCGTTGGCAATGGCCTGCAGCTCGTCGAGGTGCGGTCTAAGACTAGCTCGTACTCGACGAGTCCGCTGCATCATCTCCCACTTCTCTCTTTGCAGCGAAACCTCCGATCCTTCCTTCCCCAGTCGGGCATCTTCGCTCTCCAACATCTCCAAGACAGTTCGGTACCTGTCCTGCTCTGTCTCATGACCCTCTCCCCCAAGTGCTGACACTTGCACCTTCTCCAGGTATCTCTTCCACCTAGTACTGCAGAGACATTTTTGCTCAGGCGTCCATGCTTCAAGCTCGTCAAATTGTTCCTCGGGCACGAAGGAACGAGAATCTGGCTCTGCTGGGCCTGACAAAAGCTCTTCTTCCTCGACTATTAGATCGGTTGTCCTCAATCCGGTAGGAGGCAACAAGATTCGTCCCACGGCGGTTTCATTTCTCAACATAAATCTAGAGAAGAGAGTTGGTTATTGGATATGAACAAACATTCGAAAGTCGGCGTAAATTTACTCAGGACATCGAGTCTCATAAATCAGCAGCCCAAGCATTTACTCAAGTAGGCCTTTAGTCACCTAGGTACCCAGGTACACAGGCAGGTTTTTAACTTCCCGAGTACATCTACGGGCCGATTGCCGAGAGGACCGAACAGACGTAGTTCAAACCTACACTCTTATGGTGTAGGCGTTAATGGATAAGAATGCACTCGTTAATTTAGTCGGTGAGTGTACAGACCGGGCCATAGTTGCTGACCGAAGCCCACACCTGGAAATATGTCCCGATCAAAGTTGCCTTGTTTGTAGATGTGCCTACTTAATCCAGAAGAAAATGAGAAGATAAATTGCTTCAAGCAGGTCGCTATGAGGAAAAGTGCTGCAATATGCAGAGTCGGATTGGGTCTTGCCATGCACCATGTGTCGAGAGATGGTATAAGGTTGGGCCGCATTTGCCTATTTCAAGCCACGGGCGATTGACTTTTGTTCAATTGTTGACAGTTCTCTCTACGCCGCCAACACTAGAAGTACAAGACAAGGAGTCTTACCCCCTTCACTGGACCAAGACCATGCCGTAAGGATAAGGATCACGCCCGCTGGGACAAGTATGCAGAGCACAGTGCTTTTGAGAATCTCATTTATCCTCGACATGCACATCACGTACTAACTAGTGACGCCACAAAATCCCGGCACACGCTTTGACACAAACTCTAGGAATATTGGCTTGCCATTGAAGTGTTGCATCCTGCGCTCGAATGTATCCGCCGCTGTAGTCGCCATTGAATCCACACTTGGTCTACAAAACAAGCGGGAACTATGACAAGAAATTTCATGTTTTTACTTTATGGTATTAGTTATATGCTGAAGATTAACTTTGTATTTGAGATTATATTGGCTGATGGAGACAGGTCGGCAGTTCTGGCCATCAGGTTTCTTAGTCCTTCAGCCAGTGGATTACACAAGACGCCAGCCGACTTTCTGGATGAAGTTGAAGATGTAAGAAGAGCATTATTGGAAAGAATGTTTGTATTTCCATGAAAGAAACTTATATTTGCGAGGCGGCAATGACATGCATTTCTCCCAGCAAAGAATTCTCAGGCCCTTGGCCACATAACACAACATTTTTCATTCTCCGCGCAGGTTTCTCAACCGGACGGCTACAGAGAAACATTTGTTTTCAGAATATAAATGATTAAATTTCAATCGACTGTCTGCCTTTCCTTGAGCCTGTTTGTTTGTTGGAAAATATGGCAGCACTCTCTTGAACCGTGGCCAACGAAAGTTGCCTAGACTTGAGATGCGATGGGAAGTTATCTTACCCACCGCCAAACAATGGAATCCTGGAGCTACTAGGATACTTTATTTATGATACCACGACCCTGTTGAAACGGAAAGAAAGATAGCGCCCTGCAGGTACGCCCGGTCGAAATGGAATGAGGGCACCGCCTTCCAGCTTTACAATCATGCCCAAGACAGATGTTGGTGGATGATTCGCAAGCACTCTCCGACTGACGCCATGACATTTGATCAGTGATCAATCGTCAGTGATCACCTTCCACGCAACAAGCCTCATTGCTTTACCATGTTGGGCCAGCATAATTACTTCTCGGGGAACATTGACGAAAGGCTTCCTTTGTCTCAGCTCTGGACCAAACGACCTCACCTCCTCAAAATCGAATCTGCCCACAACATCAGCGCAAGCCTTCACCCGCTAGCCGAGCGAGAAAGTCAATTATGGCATTCCCAGAGGCAAGTCTTGCTTTAGTAGCTGGTGCGCCGTATTGTATTCCCTCAATTCCTCTGGCTCCATCTGGCCCTCGACTCCAGCACCTTGGGAACAGAATAAATCCTCCCTTACTAGGTCACAACCCAGCTACATTGTTCCCCTCGAGTCTACAAATCAGCCGGGGTCCGACGATTTAGCCGCCGAAGCTGCTACTTGGTGGAAACATGACGGTTTGTTTATTTCTGTATTTTTGCGTTCCATATACATGCTCATCAACAGCACGAGCGTTCCGAGCTTAGATTATGAATGTAAAGCTCTACTGTAGTCATGGGGCACTGACAAGTACCTGTTTTTACAGCTCAGGGTAATTCGGATTCAAGAACTCTTTGGTTCCCAGGTCGGCACTTCTCTTCCCACGACGGGCTCTGCCCAGCATGGCGACTTTTAACGATTCAAATAGCGCCTTCATGTTTCCTGTGGTACCCAGCCGACAAGACCCCAGAAAGTACGTTTCAATCGGAACTATAATCATGCGGCCAAGACTTTAATTCTCACTCCAGGTTTACTATTCAAGGGACGGCTAGTATTCCCGTACCAGGCCGACTGTTCTACAAAAGCCCATCAGCTGAGCGGCCGCTCTAAGGAACGAGGGTTGTCTCAAGGATACTATTGAAATGGCCGAAATCCCAATGTCTGTCGGAAACAGGGCTTTTCAAGAACAAGATATACAGCTTTTGCAAGTGTCGTTGGTCTAGCATCCGCGATAGTCCTTTTATCTGCGTCCTTCGTTAGGCGCCGTTTCTACGCGCGGCGTTTTCCCTAAATCCCGGTACGTCATGTAATTTTCCTTGATGAATACACTCGTCTTCTTACTGGCCTGACAGAGAGCTGTACATGAACATGGTGGGTTTCCTTACTCGCACGGCAAATGCGGCTACGGCGGCCATCCGTGCAATATCAAGCATGGAGAGTGCCAAAAGCTTTTGCAATGCCAATACCTAGATATTGCATCCTACCGACGTCTTTGTAAACTGTCCCGCGGAGTATCTCTCTGCTGTAGAGCATGTCACTTCAAAACTTGAGACGTTTTTGAACGTGAGGAGGATTAAAATTGATCCAAGAGCTCAGTTTAAAGAAAGCAAGGTCGCGGGTGGCAAACAATTGGAGGAGTATCTCGGGACGGTGAAGCGGACCTCAATATCAGCCATATTCCTTTACCAATGTACCTTATACTCTGCAACAAAAGGGCTGCAAAGTGTCGGCGGAGACTAAGCAATCCTGGACCGAGATTTCTGCATTTCAGAAACCTATTCGTGACAGAGAATCCCGTCATAATATAATCCTGTAACAGGCAGTCAATCTTCAATGGCTGGGACAATAGGCATCCTCACAATCCCTCTGACATTGTCTGCAGGGAAGTGGACAAAAAAGCCGACGTTGAAGTCGCCGTTCTCTCATCGAAAGATATCAGAGTGTTTGTCGCCATTGTGTTGAGACGCCAGGCGAACCACGCCTTCCTCGTCAATTAGCCCAATGAATTCCTTGATATTGGTCTTCACCTCATTCCAGGTACAGGGTAGAAGGCGGATCGAGAGGGACAGAAGTCGAGGACTGTCATGCGGTGGTGATTTCAGGTCATTTACCGTCTCTTACGTGCCTCTATGAAAGTTGGGCGGCAGATAGAATTCATGGATCCACAGAAAAGCGACATCCATTTGCAGATTGAAGGAAATCATGGCCGATATCACAGTGAGATGATGACTGCCACTGGTGACTACCCTGTGTAAAGACGATCAGAGATGGGTAGATGACTGAGCCCCTCGACACTTGACATGGATTCTGTTCCCCCACAGCTGAAACGGCAGACCAGAAAACTGGCGCTAACGATTTTTGGATTGAGTCTTGACGTGACTGGAGAGCCCAGACATGAAATGAAGTCTGCCTTGGTTGTCAGCCTCTATAATGGCTGCCTTGCCAGTGAAGCATAATATACCGACGACGTGGTAGGTGAATGTACATAACCGAGTCAAGCCTCTCAATTGGCAATCCCTTTAAAGGGCAATCAAACCACAGCGCACAGCAGCATGGATATATTTGACATCACCCCCGAAGGCATCAGCGGCTTGGCCAGGGAGACGATCCATGATAGGATCATTGGATGCTTGTTCGGGTCAGCCTTGGGAGATGCCGTCGGACTATACACCGAGTTTCTATCTGGAGACATGTCCGCCACAGCGTACCCGTCCCGGAAATTCGTGCTCCATCCCGAATCTGAGGCTACCCTCTTCCGGAGCGACGCACATCGGAATCCTCATCGCCCCGGGGAATGGACCGATGATACGGACCATGCGCTGTTGATCTTGTTGTCCTGTCTGCACAAGGACTGCACGGAGCTCGATGCGCAGGATTTTGCGTCACGGCTCTCGATTTGGGTTCGATTCGGGCTCCTTGCGCTGGACACGTTGCCCTTGGGCTTGGGACGAACTGTGGGCGCAATTGTGCGGACAAGGACATATCTCGATGACCCCGAAGGCACGGCCAGAACCCATTGGAAGAATACCAATTATCATGCTGCGCCCAACGGAAGCCTCATGCGAACGCACCCTCTCGGCCTCCTTTGCTTGGACAAGCCACTTTACGACACATTCGAGACGGCAGCTGCGTACTCGGTCGTCACACATGTTGACCCGCGATGCATAATCTCATGTGCCATTGGGACCGCCCTTATCCGAGGTCTTCTTCGCCAACAAGTCCGCCAAGAAGACGACATTGATACCGCCATTGCGGAGGGATTGTCGTGGTGGACGGGCTACAGGGCTCGGCAGATGCAAGACCCGGATCGACGGGACGAACCAGACCTGGATCTCGCCGAGTTCAGAAGACACGCCAAGGTTGAGAACATTGACGCGCTGCAACTCGACGATGCACTCAAAATGGGATACGTTTACAAGACATTCGGCTCTGGTGTTCACCTCCTCCGCATGGCGATGCGAAAATCCGCCGACTCGGGGCACTCGCTATCGGCCCAGTCAGCCATTTTCGAGCCTCTGATGACGGATCTCGTCATGCGAGGCGGAGATGCCGACACCAACGCGTGCTTCGCTGGTGCTCTTCTCGGCGCGTACGTGGGATACAGGGCGCTGCCGCCGCATTGGCGAGACGGCCTGCGCCATGGATCGTGGCTGATGCAAAAGGCAGAAGGGCTTTGCCAACTGCTGGGCGTAGCAGA